CTTCGTCAGAGCCTAAAAGTCGAAAAACCACTGAGATTGACACTATAATAAGGCAAGATAAACCCAAGACAGTTCTTTAGACTATACTACTTACTACTGGAGACCCCTCAAACCCGGTATACAAGAGGCTTACCTTGATTCAAATCGCCGGAGCGTTAGATCGACCACCCAGTGCTTACAGTATGCGTACAATGAGCAAGCCTACCTCCCTCCTGACCTCACCGCAGTCTCAAAATTCGCACAGGTCGAGAAAGGGCGTGAGGTCACGGGTTACGGCCATACATTCCTCCTTCCTGTTAATTTGTATATTATATATATATATATAATATATAGTATTTTTCTGCATTCCTTTTTGATTGTATGGTTGTTTTTTCTGTTTCTTTTCAGTTGCTTATTAAACATAATTGCTTGGGATGACTCCTCCTACATATATTATCGATCAAAACCGCAATGAAGTGGAAGGGAGCGGCAATTAAATAATCAAAGAACTCAATTCACAAATTGTCTCCCAATCCAATCTTCAACCGCCTTTCTGCAATACGCGACGGCGAGCGCGACGGGAAGAAAATACCGGACCCACATATACATACTGCATACACTTAGCGCTTTATACGCAATCACATGCATCACGCATCACATGTTCACAACCGTTTATCTATAGAATTTGTTAGGGGATCAATATAAGCAATACTGATAGACTTACTATATCATAAATAAGCCCACGTGACATTTCACACTAGTCATCGAGCCTACGTGACTTTTCGCGGACAGGCGTACAAACCGACAGACACACCAAGTTAGTGCTTCCTATATATAGATCACTACTTTTTTTTGGAAACGTTTCTGCGAACTCCTCTATTTATTGGGAGACGATATTCTTTGATTCTGAAAAACTGCACAACTACTTTGCAAAATTGTTAGCCAGAGATTTTTACGTAAAGTACCTTCTGAGAAACACGTTGTGACGCTTAACGCGTTCATTCCTGTACCACTTACCATTCCAACAATGCTTTTCTATGATGGCCCCGGAGGTAAACGTTAGAAACCCTTTGAGTATAAAGCGTAGTTGGTCGAATAGCAATCCTCTCAGGTGGGCACCACCTTCGACTTCTTCATTTGAAATTGCTGTTCAAGGAAAATCACTGACTTTCTGCCATGATGAGCACAATGATCTGACCACAACATGATGTCACAATTAGTCTACTTTTATCTTGGCTCAGTCCCAGATATTTTGAATATGCCAGTACAACATGTAACGATTGATGCAGTCCTGTAAAACCGCATGTGCTCCCAGGCATGAACCTAGATTCTTCGCTTGAGGTAGCTTCTTTGGTTGTCTCGCACCAATTTGCTGTTTTGGGTTTACTTATTGCTCCCCGATTGATTCCTTGGAAGTGCTGCTCGAGAATTGTCTTTCTAAACATCGTTGTCAGCATAAAGGCAATACTGTATGAATCTATCGAAAAAATCTATTGCTCGTCAGCGTATCTGTTCCACATGCTACTCCTGTTCTTTTACAATTGTTAGTGTACTGTCGATTAATGCGAACATTACATAGGTTTTTTGGTTGTACTGCAGTGCTCGGTATTTTGTGGACACAGATTAGGTTTGCTTTCTTACTTCCAAAATGCAGTTCAGGCAAGCTTTTAATGCCGACTTTCAAGGGAAGAAAACCGTGTCCTAGCGGCTGAAAAAGACGGATTTGCCCTGCTGTATGTGTTTTCTAACGATGATTTTCAATTCTGATTTTGATTTGGTTGTCTGATTTTGATTTGATTGATTTTTCACGATTTGCACTCCTAATCTGCAAACGATTCTAGAAACAAAAGGGTTGAAGTGTTTTCTCCGTGATCTATGAAGCCGGCTAATGGATCAGCAGGCCGAGCGTAGATGGTGATGTGGGACGGTAACGCGTTTGGGCGGTAAGCTCGCAGCGTACCATGAGTTTGTAAATCTGATGCATGTGCTCGTTTTACTGTTCCACAAAACGAGTGATTGCTTGTGAGAGTTCCCTGCCTAATATTGGCTAACCCAGCCCTAACACACCCTTAATAAACATTGCAAATGGTCTAATCTCTTCCGAACCAAGGAGAATCTGTCTCCGTTACTGCGAAGTGATGGATCTGGGAATCATGAAATTTATCTTGCTTTCCTATGTTGATCTGGCATGGAGTTGCAGGGGGCGAAAATACCATCAAAAAATGCAATAATAACAACTTCGGCAAAATAACAACAGTTATCTGCTGAATCTCACTTTTGTGTAGTGAAAAACGAAAGTCATCTCCATACTCGGTGAATATTTACGCAAAACCATGTAACGATTTCGCAGAAGTCATTAGTATTCTTCTTCTCGTAGTCCTATAATACCGGTCACGACGTAAACATTTGACACAGTTGTGGAAAGGAAAATCGCAGAATCTTGGGAAATGTTCAGGGGTAACAGGCAACAAAGAGTGTAAGCAAGCGACCTTTGAAAGCCCCTAATCACTTCCTCCATTTATTGATGACATCTAAAGATGCGCTTCAGTCGTTAAAAACCAAAATTAAGCGCCAGGAATTGAGGCTAAGAAGCAGCAAAAACAGCAAAAGAGAGAGGGAACGCAAGTGTTGATCCTCTCGCCGTGAAATGTATATATGATATATGATTCAGCACTACCTTTTCGAGAAAAATTCACTTAGCACAAAAACTTAATTTTTAACCGCATACAATAGCAGTAACATATTGCATGATTCATCCAAACCATGTAAGAATCCCAAGTCAAAGTTGCCATTTGAACTAAGATCTACAGTGCTGGAGGTGGTTTCGAAAACTAATCTCAAATCTGCTTTCCAATCTGCCGAGCGGTTCTTTAAAGGAGTTATGAGGGTGATTTTAGGTGACGATTAAAATAAGCAAATACAAATAACATGGATGTACCGTTGAGGATTCATGGATTTTCTTCAGCGGTGGCTTAGAGCAGTGATAAGTGTGACGCTTCATGTGCGAGAGACTGTAGTTGGGTTTTATGGATTCTATCTTTGAGGCCTAGGAATTTCTTTCACGTTGACTTTTTTGCATTCTACGGCCTCTGGACGCTTTTGGTGATATCTTTCCTGTCTGAACCATACAATATCGCTTCGTTTTTCGCGTGGATATACACTTTCTATTTACAATGAGGCGGAGGTGGTGAAGTGGCAAAAGGGCGCATTTTCACACACGAATGTTTCGGAGATTTATATATTTTCGCTCATGCTGACCAAGTCTTCCATATCTCTTGAGTAGGTTACGTGGTAGGAAACTCGTCCGGAAGGATAAAAGCACAGATCTGCACATTGGCGCGCCGCCGTAAGTGATTGCATGGAGAATCAACGCATTTAAAAAGCCACTTTGAATGAAAAACGAATGCATGGTACATACCAGAGACAGAAATGATTAAGGCCGAAAACTTACGCTTTTCTTATATTCGCAATGGGGCTTCTGAGCGATATCCATGCCATGCTATCTCAAGCCTCAAAATGATCGAAAAGAGAAGGTGGGTTAGTGGTGTTGTCTGCTCTACATTTTCACTAGATAACCTCTAGGACAAAGCTCTTCATAATTTTAGAGTAGGTTTGATTGTGCGCAGCGGCTCCAGACCCTTGAAAATCAATATTGCTTATAGCGAAGTCGTGAATATCATTCAAATAAAGACAGTCCGCCCCAATCCCTCAGAAGCCGGTGCGGGTAATGATTATCCCTGTTCGCACCATGGGGCTAATACAGTTGCTAGATACCCACATCCTTATGCCGCTCGATAGCATGATTTAAAGCATCACCTCATACGTACTAGCTCATAATTTCAATTTCTGCGTATATATGTACTAGCGACTCGATTCTTCGCTTACTATCCTCTGTCTACTCACATCTGTGCTGCTAGGATCAGAGAATTCCTCACCTACTCATGGCACGCCGCCGACTATTAAGGGCTCACGCGGGCGTTTCCGAGATACCTACACAAGTGACGGCGCTTCCGTTTCCATTCTGACTAGGTAAATGATTGTGGGGCACCTCCATTTGGTAATTCTATTGTAATCCTTACTCCCTTGAGGACAAACATCATTGTTCCAAACAATTGATAAAATAACAACAATGATAAAAACTGGCAAAAGAAATTGAAGCGTTACATATGGTTTGGGTATGAAAGTTACCACCAAAAACGTCAAACGGCCATAGAATGTGATAAAATTAACATAAAAGAAATTTATAGGTCTCAAGGACAAAATCCTCCAGAGTGCAAAAACTTCGCCTCCACAGAACCCGAACCATAGTCTCGCACATGAACCTTTCCACTTACCATTGCTCCAGGTCACCGCTGGAGATGCTGGTATACCCATGTTATATGTGTTGCTTATGTTACTCTCCCTACGGATCTCCTTCACTGAGGGTTCCTTTTCACTGAAGGATCCCAGCCGGTTAGCGACGAGGCAACGTAGTGCATCCCCAGGTGGAGAATAGGGTAGTAAATCGCAGACCAAATGTCGCCAGTACTTGCCCAGAGACGCAGATGGATTCAGGAAAACCCTGATTCTGCTGTGCTGGTCAATATACGCTCAGTTTCTCGCAGGCGTATCCATGCATACATGTGTGGAGAGTCTGTGGGTGCAGTTGGTATCCTGCCCATCGACTCAGCCAAAAGCTTGCAGTCGAGTGACTAGGAAGTTTCTGGGAGGCGGAGCCGCCTCCAAGAACAAAGCCTCTCCTCCACATTCTTTACTCCGAGATTGCCTGGTAAGCTCTCGGAATCAACCTAGCCCCCACGCAGCGCCTGACAAGCTGCACGTTAGGTATCTACTCGCCAAAATTAGTAATAGAAATGGGCCGCATTCCGCTGAATCTGAGGTAGCCTTAATACGGCAGCGTTGGGTAGGCTGCTAAAATCTCAGGGTCAAAACAGACTGCCCCAAAAAGGAGAAGGACTAAAAAAGCGATCTGTAGTTTCAACGTACGGACGCTTGAATCGGAAGCGTATATAGAAGACCTGATGGTGCAAGCTAGGAAGATCAAGTACGTATTCATCCGAGTGACCGAGACGAGAAGGCATCGCCCGCTGCACGCTGTATTTGAGACTGGAGAAGAATTGCCCTTTGGAACATGTGACAGCACAGGCGTCAGAGGCGTAGGTGTCCTCGTCAATACGCACTTGGCCATGAACATCGATCCGTACGAAAGCTCACAACCCGAATCGGACGTTTGCGATCAAGAAAATGTGGCTCAACCCCTGCTCTAACCATCTTCGTTGCCTACGCACAAACATCGAGTTAAAGGAAGTTGGAAGCGTATAGCGTATTAGCGTATTATATGGATCTGGAGAGGCTCTACAGAGAATACCACACTTTCTTCAAGATCAACGTGGGCGATTTTAGCGCCAAGACTGGCCCCAGACGAACGGCCGAAGAGCTCCACATCGGGACTCACGAATGAAATGGAATGAGAAGGGTGAAAGGCTGTCCGAGTTTATCATGTCGACCCACACCAACCATGGTAATTCGCAATTCTGGAAGCCCTCTCATTTGAGATGGACATGGGAGTCACCTGGTGGACAGTTCCATAATGAAATAGACCACANTCTACAAGGAAGTCATTGTCAACGTGAAGAGAGGTGTCCGGTAGGACGATACTATTTCGCCCAAACTTTTCAGTGCCGCCCTCGAGAATGTCATGCGTCATTTGGAATGGGAAGACTTGGGAGCGAAGGTCAACGGGTTGACGAGTTTCACTGTTCGCTGCTTCTACCCTAGCGCGAACCCTACCCACCTTGAAGGTTCTACCACATTTCTTCTGTACCATTATCCTTTTCACTGTGATTTAAAACGTTTGTAAGGGTGATGAATCTTTTGAAAGGTTTGAAACGTTTGAAAGAGTCAGAAATATTATATTCAGCCCATACTACCCTAAGGCAAATCCTGCTCACATTGGAGATCGACCACATTTCTTCTGTACCTTTACCCTTTTCACTGTGATTCAAAACGTTTGCAGGGGGAATGAGTTTTTCTGTTGCCCCAATACCCTTAGTGTAAACCCTACCCACTTTAAGATTCGACCACATTTCTTTCCTTACTTTTATCATTTTTTTATGTTGAAACGTTTTAAAGTGTAAGGAATATAATCTTTAGCCCCTACTACCCTTTTGTAAACCCCACCCACCTTAGGAGTCGACCACATTTCTTTTGTTACTTTTATCAATTTTTCCTGATTTTAAGACCTTTTAAAGGTTGACGAGTTCCTCTGTTCGCTACTTCTACCATGGCGCAAAGCCTACCCACCTTGAAGATTCGACCACATTTCTTGTGACCTTTATCCTTTTCACTGTGACTTAAAAAGTTTGTAAGGGTGATGAATCTTCTGAAATGTTTGAAACATTTGAAAGAGTCAGAAATATTATATTCAGCCCATACTACCTTAGGACAGATCCTGCCCACACTGGATATCTACCACATTTCTTCTGTACCTTTACCCTTTTCACTGTGATTCAAAACGTTTGCAGGGGGAATGAGTTTTTCTGTTGCCCCAATACCCTTAGTGTAAACCCTACCCACTTGAAGATTCGACCACATTTCTTCTGTACCTTTACCCTTTTCATTGTGATTTAAAACGTTTGTAGACGCCTACATCATACCTACATCACCTCCGCTTTGCAAACGACACCATGCTTATAACACCGAACATCGAGCAGGCGGAACGAATGCTGGCCTAGTTTGACAGCGCTTGAAGAAAGACCGGCTTGAGGCTGGTCTTAACGAAGACGATGTTCATGAAAGACGGATTGGTTCCTGATGCTCCCTTCACGCTAAACGGAACGAATATCTTCGAATGCTCTAGCTATGTGTAACTAGGTCGGGAAGTCAACATGATGAGCGACTTAGCTCCGGAGCTGTGCAGAAGGAAACGCGCCGCGTGGGGAGCATTCAAAAATATCGAGGGAGTAGTGAAGAAGACAAAGAACATCCGGCACCGCGCTCACCTTTTCGACAGTGCTGTCCTTTCTGCTTTGACGTACGCCTCGAAAACTTGGACTCTGCGAAAGCAGGATGAGCATGCTGTCAGCTTTACTCAACGCGCTTTGAGAAGAAGATGCTCGGAATTTCCTTATACACGCAAGTGCAGAAGGGAATCTGGAGTTCCGAGCTCCTTCAACAAACGACGATCAGGGCCGTCGTTGATTACGCCAAGAAGTCGAAGATCAGGTGGGCTGGGGCTATGCGATACAGTGATGACCGTTGGACCGGGGCGGTTACTGAACTGGATCCCTCGGGACGTCAGGCGAACTCCAGGACGGCCGCCAACGAGATGGTCAGCTTCCTCACGAAAGCTCTGAACGAAAGGGATGTCGGACCTCGTGTCCTTGAAGCGAGTACGATTCACCGGACCACTCCGGCTCGTGACAGCAGAGACGAATGGAGACATTACTGGCGCCCGCTCGAGGAAGTCTATGGTCAAGGGGACGACAATTGAGGTGATATGTTATTCTTCGCCTGAAACCGTCCTCATCACTCCATTGGAAGAACCGTTCGGCAAACTTGGAGAGCAGTTTTGAAATCATCATCGAAAATCACGTCTAATAGCAAATTCTCATTTCACTTGGTAACATTGTTTTGTGATCCTCTACTGGTAAAGCGAGGTTAGGGCATTATAGAAGTGAGTAGGATTCGTCAGAAACAACAAATCACGACCCCCTGGAGACACGTAATAACTGTATTTGAGTAATTATTTATTTACCAAAACTTATCTATAATGGATACAGAATTTATTAGAAGCTGGAGAAACAAATTCACCTCAGCCTCTTCAGCTTCAGCTGCAACCATAGCAAGTCTAGCCTTAAGTCCCGAATTCTCTTCACCCTTCGAAGTGACCTCCTCCTCTAGCATCGCCACACGTTCCATAGCTACCCGCAACCTCTCCCTAACCTAAACATATCAGGAATTCTTGTGCAGACCGAGATCCGTCAGATTATAGTCAAAGATTCAAGACCACGACAGAAAGTCATGAACTAAGATCAAAGGAAAAACATACAAAACAGTACCTTTTCATCTAAGGCTTTGTGATGCTCAAAAAGACTCTTCAAAGCTTTTAAAACTTCCACTTCAGAAGATACCTGGAAAGATCGTTCGCTTGCACTGCGAATCATGACCCAATAGTTGGAAAACCCACTCCAGCCGGACTCTGTGCTTGCCGTTTCATCACCGTTACTCGTAACGATCTTTCATGTCTGGACACAAGGCATTCCAGATGTTCCAATAAGAGCCGAGTGTTGTTTCGTTCGGCCTGAAAAACGATGTAAGGTAGCCCATCATCGAGATGAAACTTCCTCCGCGAGTTGCAAGAGTGTGTTATAGTCCCTTTAGAAAATTCCAATGGCTGTCCAACAGTTTTCGTTAAAAAAGGTATGACGTGATATATCGATGAACATGCTTTTAATTATTATTCTTCAACGCGATTGCTCGAGAGTAGAACTGGACGTATTTTGCCGTTGCCTCAGAGCTTCGCTCATGCCTGCAAGACCACTCCATTGAAATCTCTAACGTTCCTCAAACGGCACAATGAACGCCCAGAGACGGAAAGACGGTGCTAACAATTCTATAAGGAACAACAGCGTCACACATTCTTCGTGGAAACTTTCCGTCACGTTCTCAGAATATGAGTTTAGACAGCGAAGTAAAATCATTAGCACGAAAGGAATTTCTGGCTCACCTCCTCCCCGTTTGAAATTGGCCTACTGTCCACACCCCCCCCCCCCCC